TCTATTCATCGCATGGACCGACTTCGTAGCCGAGGTGGAGGGGTTTGTTGCTTTATTAAACAGGATTTTGCTGTGGAGCGCGTACGTTTTGCCTATGATGGTAATTGTGAAGTTCTCTCCTTCAACATTTGGTCACCTTGCTCCCTCTCACCTTTGAGATTCGTTGTTGTTTATCGTCCGCCTTCGTCAGATGACAGCGATGACGACATTCTAGGCAATGCTATACACGATCTCTGCTCACTCCCAGCCGAAACTATTGTGTTGGGGGACTTCAACATAGATGCCTTGTCCACTGATTTTTACAAAAATCGGCTTATAACATTTTTGCATGAGTGTGATCTCCAGCAACTAGTTACCTTCCCGACCCACAGTAGATCAGCTATTGATCTGATATTTACATCCTATAGTTTAGTTAACAACATCAAAACTCTTCCTCCTCTCGGCTCATCAGATCACAACATAATAACTTTTGATGCAGCCTTTACAAATTCATTCAAAAATACCTTCCTCCCGTATCCGGACTTTCGCAAAGCAGCATTCTCAGAAATAAATAGATCATTGCAAAATATTGATTGGTTTGCTCTTTTCATGGACTTGGCATCTGTTGATGATCTCTACTATTGCTTCTGTAAAACATTGTACTCAACCTTTTCAAGATTTGTACCGTTTCGATTTAAGCTTTTTGGACTAGAAAGTTATCCTACACATACACAAAATCTTCTTCACCAAAAATCTCGGCTATTTTCGCAGTTATCCGACCCTTTAAATGACGATAGGTATAGAAAAGTTTGTGCAGATATCAACCATCATATCAAAAAGTTTTTAGCTAACCGAGAACGACTCTTCTCTAGATACAATTTCAAAGAGCTTTATGGATACCTCAGAATCAAAATGAAAGGTGAACAAAAAATTTTTGATTTGATAGATGAGCAGGGCAACGTTCTCAAAAGTGACAGAGAGAAAGCAGGAGCGCTAGGAAAATTTTTTGCCAGTTTTTTTACTGAAAGAGAACAATTTCATGAAGAAACATCTTATCACCATATAACTCGCACATCGCTTTGCTGCCCAAATCTGTTCATTAACCCTACAACTGTTTATGAAATTTTGAAAAAACTCAAGGCCACAACGACTTCAGCATATGACGGTATTCCTCAAATTGTGTATCGTAAATGCGCTGGTGCTTTAGCTTTCCCTCTGTCTATTATTTTTAATGCCTCTCTTTCTCTAGGTGTAGTGCCTGCTATCTGGAAGGAGGCACTAGTAACAGCTATTCCTAAACGGGAACATAGTAGTGCCCTCTCGAATTTTCGCCCAATCAGCATAACTGCAACATCCGGAAAAATACTTGAAAAAATTATAAAGGACATCTTGTTCAAATGGATGGAAGACAACGATATTTTGCCTACAGCTCAAATGGGCTTCCTCCCTGGGGGGTCCACTACTGCATTACTTTCGGATTCGCTTTTTGACTGGATCAGTGCACTGAACCAAGGCAAATCTGTGGATATTATACAGGGTGTCCCAAAAAAATGTATCGAACGTTTGATCGTTAATATCTCTCTTCCCAAGAAGTCTTTTGCCTTGCTTCAGATACCGTTTTTTAGAGCTGGCTTCAACTTAGATTTGCATTATAGAATGAATCATCATCTCTCTTCATTACTGTAGGATTACGGTAGAAACTTGAAACATATGGTGTCAATGTGGAAAAAGCTGCAGTTTCAAAATTTTTCAGAAAAATGTGAAAACTTGTGTATTGGGGTTTTTATGGACGCTGAGTTCAATACTCAACTATTCACAAGATTACGGCTTTCTAAACGGTGTAACCGCACTTTTTAGGAGCATTGAAAAAATGGCCGCTACCTCTTACCTGGCATAACTCTTCAATGAAGCATCATAATAAATTGGGAACTTCACAGTTATAATCAGCAACTCTAATTAGCCTAGTGTAAAAGTTTTCAGGCTGTTTTGTTTCCTTTTTGGGGCAAAATATGGCCTTTCATTGCTTAAAACCCTCTTTGAAGTTTCTACCGTAATCCTACAGTGATGAAGAGAGATGAGTGATTCATTCTATAATGCAAATCTAGGTTGAAGCCAGCTCTACAGATTGGTACCTGAAGCAAGGGAAAAGACTTCTTTAGAAGAGAGATATTAACGATCAAACGTTCGATACATTTTTTTGGGACACCCTGTATTTTTTGATTTGTCAAAAGCGTTTGACAGAGTTGATCATGCTAAGTTGCTTCTCAAGTTGGAAAGCTATGGTGTTCGCGGTCAGCTACTTTCGTGACTTTCATCTTATCTGGAGGGTAGGGGCATGACAGTGCGAATTGGCAATACCTTTTCGAGTCGATTTCGTTGCGTTAGTGGAGTGCCTCAGGGCGGCATACTTTCGCCGCTTCTTTTCCTTGCTTACACAGCCGACTTACCCTCATTTTTGAAAGTCCATCCAGCTATTAAAATCCAGATGTTTGCAGACGATATCAAAATATATTTCTGCTATGATGACAAAGAAAAATCTGATGCTCATCGTGCAATCTCTACCTCAATAGAAAGAATGGCCTTTTGGTCTAAAACGTGGAGCCTTCCTGTCAACCCCGCCAAATCAAAAGTGCTGCATTTGGGCAACTCTCAAGGCTCCACCTATTTTTATGATGGTATCGCTCTTGAGAACTGCAGCAGTAGCAAGGATTTGGGCGTCACCGTTGACGAACATTTGAAATTTTCTTCCCATTTTGATTCGGTATCTAGGAAAGCCCTATCCGTTCTTTTTATCATACTGAGAAGTACCCACAGTAATGATCCACTTCTCTTGGTGAAACTGTATAAAACTTATGTCCTGCCCCAGTTAGAATATGCGTCCCCTCGTCTCAGTATGATAAAAAGAACGTTTGGAGCCCGTTTCTGAAGAAAAACATTGAGAAGATCGAAAAAGTGCAAAAAACCTTCACTAGAATTGTCTACTACCGATGCTATCCAAAACCTGACTATCCTCGCTCATTACCGCCGTATAAGGAGAGATTATCTGCGCTAAAATTGCATAGTTTGAAGTACAGGCGGGTCTGTAATGACCTAGTATTCTGCTTTCGGATCTTACGGCTCGGGACGAGGTTAAGACCTAGTCAGTATTGGATATTTAGGCCCTGTGGGGATCGTACAGGCGGACTCCGGCTGGGTTATTGGAAGTTAGGAAAGAAATTTTTTTCCATAGCATTCAACTCATTTGTACCCTCGATATCATCCCATATGTCTTCCCTCAACATGACGTGGATTACGTGGCTTGATGAGGCGCCGCCTCGCCTCGGCCTCGCGCCACGTTGCGAGCGCATCATTTGGCGCGACGTGGCGCTCAACACAACGTGGCGCAGGCTTTTCCACGTTCTTCTTGTTGCCACATCACGCCGAAGATGCGCACGCAACGTGGCGCAAGCCCGAGGCGAGGCGGCGCCTCATCAAGCCACGTAATCCACGTCATGTTGAGGGAAGACATATGGGATGATATCGAGGTTATGTCGTACTGCACGGTGGCTCAGCCTCCTACCAAGAGATGCTACCTCTTGTAGCACTTCCGCTGAATTTCGAAAGAAACTTTCTTCAATTGATGTAATGCAGATTCTAAAAATTGCAGATGTATGATTTCGAAATCTGAAAATTTTTCGACATTTTTGACAGTTTTTTCTTGACGTTACTTTTTTAGAAAACAGAAGGCACAGAAGTGTGAGTGAATTAAGAATCTTGTAAACTGTGTTTCTTTCCTTGTTTGTAACCGTTCAGACAGGTTTATTGCCTCTTTGCTTGGAAAGCCGTTTGAGGAGGTCAGAAGTTGGCGAGCCCTCTTCCTTGAGGACCCCCCTTCCCGCTCGCCCAGGGTCCTTGGCGGATTCGTCCGCCGAGGTTAAGTGGTCAGCCAGCCCTGGTACCTTCGACCTTCAACTGCGTTCGGGTAAGGGACTAGGAACTCGGAGGAGGCATTCTCATCTACAGAAGAAGGAGAGCGACATGTTGGTCCAACGAAGGGCTTTTTCCACCTGTCTACTTAATCACTTAATCAGTTATGAGTACTCTCGTGAATTGGTTGCCGTTTTTTTGCTTTTTTTGTTTTGTTTTGGAGCACCTTGTGTGTATTTTAAATAAATAAATAAATAAATAAATCTGAGTCTTTTCTGCTAAACTGGTATCTCTCGTAAATTGAAGCCAGCGAAAATTTATGATCATGTTTATGAAGATTATACTATAGATGTACCCATGTGAGAATAGTGCAGCATCGCTATGAAAGAGACAAGTAAATTTTCATTTTTCGAGTTGTAGCATCAAAATTACAATAAGTGTACATATGAATGCCCGATGTGGAAAGTATCTGCTTAAGCAAGTTCAAGATCCTCAAATTTCTACAAAAGAATTTGATTTTTTCGATCTTGCGGCATTCAAGACTTTTTGAGTTCAGCCTGAAGCTTTATGTCAAGGTTGGTGCTCGACTTTGGACACCATTTTAGTTGCTTTTTTCTATCAAAAGTAGCCACATGCTGTTGAGATAAGACGATATTCTTTGTTGCGGAAGACATCTATTGTTAAAAAACTTATGAGGTAACCTGATATATGAGGTAACCTGATACTTCCTGTAGCAATTTAAAAAAACAGGTTCACATGAATTCCTATTCCAAACTAATAATTGCTCAATTTTTCTTGCTAAACTTTTGACATGAATATGAAGTTGTCTCATGCGTGTAACTCATACTTCCATCCACAAAACTCACGCAATGCATAGTTGATGGCTTCACACAGCTATGCTACTTCAATTTGTGGGCTTACCTCATATGCAGTAATTCTGGAAGAAAACCAACTTTTGCAACCTTTATATTTTTGCATAGAGAGCTACATTATGAAGAGTCGAAGGATCTTTTATCCTAAAAGCAGTATTTGGCCAAAATAGTTTTTCTGTGATTTTCTTCTTACTAAATCCGGAGCATGCCATCAGCGAAGCGACTAAACAAATGCAAACTCACGTCGTGACATCGGAAGCGAGAAAATTGAGTAGCCCATATTATTTATTTACTTATTACGCACAACATAACTAGAACAAAGTACTGACAAGGGAAGTCACTTAACTTTGGTTGGCCTTTTGAAATGAGACACATATATTTACAACATCTCGAAACGCTGATTCCAAATATGCTGTCCTAAGCTGCGAAGCCTTCTTCTAAAGCGAGTTATGGGCTTTTCAGTATGTGTCATTGACGTGGAACTGGATATGGAAAGAAGGCCCTTAGATGAAGATCTGCCCAAAAAGTGGTGGAAAATCGAAATAACATCAAAGATACCGTAGCATGCCTAAGTCGGTCAATACGCACAATTTGCTCAGGAAAAAGCATGCAACTCACTTCAGAGTAGTGGCAGCTATGGAAAGCAAATTTGGAATCAGCGTTTTAAGTTGATTCAGTTAAATGTGTCGCTTCTCAAAAGGCCGACCTAGGTTAAGAGCCTTTCCTTGTGAGAACAAAACCAGGAACAGATACAAAAAACAAAGCAAAAAACATCTAACAAGTAAGCCCAAGTCTAGTCACCAAATAGTTCTGAGGAAAATAAGGAATTAAACTTATATAGACCAGGTATGAAATAGTCACTCAAAATAATGGCGAAAAGACTCACAGTGAGGTTCACGGAGACAAAGTGGCTGATCACAAACTCCATACCATCAGTGAGAGCTTTGAACGCTGAGTCCAAATCGCTCTCCGTTTCTGCAGAGCGCTTTTGGAAAAGAAGTTATGAACGTTTTTGAAGTCAAATAATGAACTTAAATGGCCGTAATAAAAAATCTATCGCCACAGCTTCTTTAAGGGCCGGGCATACTTCATGCGATTTCAGTCGCGACGCGATTTGGCAATTTGCCAGAATTCTCCAGATCCAACACTAGCAAACTGCACATGTATAGTGTGTATAACTTACGTGGACTGATAAAATGCCCTAACTTCCGTACATTTAGAATGCGCTTGCAGTGAGTTATGGACAGTTGGAATATTGCCAAGTCGCATCGCGAATGAAATTGCGTGAAGTATGCCCGGCCCTTTAGACCTTCAATAAAGTAGCAGAGTGTCAAAATGCTACTTAAAATGAATTCCTTCTGCCGAGTATAAAAATTTTCCTATCCCTGCGTTAAACGTTTAAAAGGGCTGTAACAATTGATTTTATCCCGTCCATTAGTTCATTTTTGCCTCAGAAAATGCTTATGACTCCTTTCCTTAAAAACTCACGAAGAACAGATTTGAGATCAGCATAAATTATTCCGAAACTCTCAATAAGGTATGCGGCTCGTAGTGATCGGCCACTTCGACATCGTGAGCCTCTTTTGTTAATGGAGTTTGTCCCACGCCCCCTGCTTGCCCGAAAAGGCGATCTTTACTATTCAGTGTAAGCGAACTGGAAATAGAGGAAGCGATATAGACGGAAATCCTGTACAAACAGTCTCTGACAAGGAGCAGAACTCCGATAGCCGAGAAAAGACTGCATAATGCAAAAAGTTGATCGAGTCTAACAAGCTATTTCCAGATAAAAACGGAAGAGGGACACCGGACTCAACTTAACGTGCAGACAAATTATATTAGGTCATTCGGAAAGTTTTTTCGCTTTTTGCGCCTTTGGTGTTGGTGCCAGATTTTAAGAGGATGCCAGATGGTTGATAGGGGTTGCTATACATGGATCTGTAGAGGAAGATTTCTATTTTCTGAAGATCCCACCGAAGATGCAGAAAATGCTTTGTAGGGAAGTTTATGCGGCTCTATCAGCATAAGGGAACGCGATTTTCGAATAATTGTCTTATCTGAGCTTGAACTTGAGTTTAAGACCGTCAAGGAAAACATTATTATGCGCAATGCATTTACCAAGACCGTCAAGGAAAACATTATTATGCGCAATGCATTTGCCAAGACCACGTCTTTCTTGAGGTAGGTTCAAGTTTACTTCAGAAAGTCCAGATCTAGAGAAGTGAAAGCTAGTATTTTGCAGTGTCCTGGAAGGTGTTCCTGCCATATAAACGAGCATATCAGAAGGTCCTTTGAAACAATTTGCAAATATAGCTGCGTAAAATTATCAGCAGGCCTTGAAGTGCCATATAGTCTCATTAGAAGCCACCTTCGCAAAAGCTGCAATACCGAAAATATCACTGACATGTATCCTACAAATTGTCGCATTCGCAGATTAAGGGCGAGTTGACTCTGCTTTTGTTGCTCATAATTTGATGGACAATCCTTTTTTGGCCTGGGTTATTAATTACAGCAAAAAATTGGCTAAGTGCGGCTACAAGAAGCGACATTGTGGAGTCATTTAGAATAAGCACTGAAAGCATGGCCAGAACAATCAGTCATTCCAAAAAGTTGATGTACTCAAATTAATATAATCCTGCTGGTCTTGTGCGCTATAAACTTGCTAAGATGCGATTGTACTGTAAGAGCAAAGTAGTGTGATATCGCTTTGAAAACCGTTTGTTAAAATTTCAAAACTGAGCAGACTTGTACGTATAAGCTGTGAAAGATGCCATCCTCGCCCATGATGTCCCTAAACCACATGTAAGAAAGATGGCCCTCACAAAAGGGGTTGACTGCGAACCAAGGTTCCTGTTTATTTTTCGAATTTCTAAGACCTTCCTTTAACAATCACTAAATTTTCTAATTTCTCGGTGCCTATCAAAAAATAACAAGACCTAATGAAGATTTGCTAGTCAAAAACGCCTTTTTTGGCTTTATTGATTCTTCTGAGATTATTTCGCAAGGAAAAAGTACAAGAGGATTACATGAGTGTTACCAGAAATTTGTTGAACGCAATGCAATCTATTTGATGGAAAAAGGTTGAATCCGGAAAAAATTGTGTTCGTTTGAATTTGAAGGTGCGAAAACGAAAAAACTTTCCGAATGACTTAAAAATATGATCAAACAAAGAAGACTTCAGTTAAAGTCAGCTCCAATTCCCTCGGTTCTACGATTAGTACTACTATAAAAAAACAGAAACAAACAAAGCTTGTTGTTATTAAGCCAAAAGTAAACTCCTTTTCAAATTGCTTGAGCTGTTTTTGTTTTCTTAATAGACTTAGGGTACCATTCCATAGAGCGAAAGGAGCTTTACAAAAAGGCTCTTTTTTCGCAAAAATCCAATTTTCAAGTGACAAAATTTTTTCGATTTTTTGCTTTAAACTTTACATGAAATGCGAATTAAGCGGATCCTTCATGATATTTTGTAGAGCGATATGCTCTATCGAATGATACCCTAAGTATACCAGGAAAACAAAAACATTGTTGCCTGGCTATACCAACTATTAGGTTGTCTCAAAAGTAAACCTTTTTCAGATAATTCAAGCTGTTTATTTGAAAAAGGTTTACCTTTAGATAACCTAATAGTTCATACCGCCCATTAGTGTGGGTGGTCCGAAGATAATAAGCGAAAAGCGGGGTCCAATAGATAAATATGTCGAAAACCTGGTCATCGTGATAAAGGACAGAATGACAGTTTCAGAAACATTCAAGCGGGTGGACCTGTATTTTCAGAGCACCCACGTTGAGTGGCATAGGCACCTTGAGGGCAGCGTCAGGCAAATCTGGACCTTGGAGATTTTACGTGGAAAGTAATTTTGGAGCTCTAACTGAGGCACTGCCCAACCGGCAGCTCAGGTAATCCTCCGACGGACGAGATATTCCCCGAAACTGGACCCCAGGATCGTATTCCGCATGGCTTCATGGCGCAACCCATCATTTTCGTGTGCTCGAGCAAAACTGATGGGTTGCGCCATGAATCCATGTCCATGCAAAATACGATCTTGGAGTTCAGTTTAGAAGCGTATTAGATCTTAGCCCTTAGTAAGTCACCTGCGCTACATGGATTCATGGCGCAACCCATCAGTTTTGCTCGAGCACACGAAAATGATGGGTTGCGCCATGAAGCCATGCGGAATACGATCCTGGGGACCAGTTTCGGGGAATATCTCAGCCGTCGGAGGATTACCTGAGCTGCCGGTTGGGCAGTGCCTTAGTTAGAGCTCCAAAATTACTTTCCACGTAAAATCTCCAAGGTCCAGATTTGCCTGGACGCTGCCCTCAAGGTGGCTATGCCAATCAACGTGGGTGGTCTGAAAATACAGGTCCACCCGCTTGAATGTTTCTGAAACTGTCATTCTGTCCTTTATCACGATGACCAGGTTTTCGACATATCTATCTATTGGACCCCGCTTTTCGCTTATTATCTTACCACCTACAGTAATGGGCGGAGCTACCTTGGCCTCTTCAACCTCTTCAACCTTCTGGAGCAGCTTCGCTTGGAGTACATCTCTCGCAGAAGATTTGAACATTACTCAGTTAGAAACCTGCTATCATAAAATATTGAAGTCTCTCCTCTTTTAATTTAGGTGGGAGGTGCATTGAGCCTTTCTGAATTTATGTGCCTGGCGCCTCTTGTTTTTCAACATTTGTTCAATGGTATCGTATTACTTTTCTACTAGAACACTGCTCTTCATTATGACATTCGGTCGGTTCATTTTTTTCGCTCTTACGTTGCTTCCTCACCTCAGATCTCAAGATTCTCTCCGCAGAAGCGCAAGAGAAGAATTACTTGGTAGGTTAACCAAAAGTTCTAATTTTCTAAAGTCTTTTCTTACAGCAGTGAAGAAAAACTTTTTGACTGCTAACGAGGAGCTCTATCAGCATATATTTTCTAATTACAATGCCAATTTGCCTCCAATATACACAGGTTTGCTCCATACAGGTTATCGTGGACTGATACGTTGGAGTTATGTTAAGGAATGCGGAATATCACAAATTCTGATCAACTCAGGAGTAAAATTTTGCTTATTTTATTGTATGCAAGACTCGTCGAAGTGGTGAGAGCTTCATTATGATGTGTTCTTACAATTCATACTATTAGGTTGTCCCATGATTTTTCACATTTTTATTACAGCCGTCATCTTTTTGTATCCTTCCTTCAACTGTGGTTTGGGTAATCGTTCGACAGCGCAAAGCGAGTGTTACAAGATAGCTATCAACAATCT